CTGCCCGTTACATACTTTTTCACAAAACCATTATACCCTGATTTCCCATTTTCAATGGGTTCAGGGTATAAAAATACTTTGATCACAAGACAAGATATTTGTAGTTTTTGTTTGATATAAAAATAACACAAGCTTGAACGAGGACATTGCTCAAATGCTACAGCAAAACATTCCTCTAATCTATATTTAATAGATTTACCTTTTGATTTGTATAAAAGCTTACCGACTCGCCGTGGCATGGGTAAAAATGTCTAAGTTCTTAATATAAACAAACATACCTAATCAGCCCTACTTTTTGCTCATCAAAAATAAATTACGAGCAAAGCTTGCTAATTTTTATTTTTTTAATTTTTGATGTCTTAATATTTAATTTATTTTTATTTTATTATTAATGTATCACTTTGGTTAAAGTATCATGATTAAAAAATTTAATAAATTTCATTAGCGCTTACGATATTTAATGTTATTTTTATATAGAGCAGCGGGAAAATAGTGAAAAGAATTTTATAAAATGCTTTCCAAACAAAACATACAAAATAGCCAAGTTTCTGTAAATAAGAACAACAAATAACAACGACAGCCGCAACACAAAGCTGTAGCAATTATTACAACAACAACGTTGCCACCCACTCGATACTGGCTGTAGGGTATAGGGGAGGCAGCAGTAAAGAAGAAAAAAGAAACTTGTAGAAGCTACTGTCACTTTACGCTGATTGCATCAATTGAAGCTTCACTGTGCCGCACGTCCATTCATCATCCGGTTGCTTCATCAACATGATGACATGACAGCGCTGGCGGTTGAGACAACACGATGCCTCGGACCACTCCCCCTTTAGACGGCCCATCCGCCGTCCCTAGCCAGAACTCATGCTACGCATGGCCGAACTAAACGAACGCGCCCCAAACTAAAATATAAAAAAAAATACAAAAAAAAAATACTTTTCAACTTCATTTTGCTGAGTATGTGTGTGTGTATGTGTGTGCCAGGCACAAAGAAAATAACGGATTCTTGCGCAAACAGAGAGAACTAAACGAATTTCGAAAATAAAATTACAACTTTGTCCAGGATCCAAAGGATGCTAACGAAATTGTTCGCCGTCGTCGTCGTCTGGCTRAAGAATTTTCGCTAGTTGTGCACCCAAAATTAGTGCACAAAAATGTTGGCAGCGGGTCGCGCACGGCTTAGCTCAGATAGGGGCGGACTGGGGCAGGGAGCGGTTCTGGAGGGGGGGTTTCGCTTAGGGGTTGTCTACGGTAGTCGGGCTATGTGGTCAGGCGGCTTGGCTAATGCCGTTCATTACGTTTCAATGGAACGCTTCTGGCTTCAAGCTGCCAAACAATTGGCTATTGGCGTTCGGTGATTGGCCATTTTCAAGAGGCGAGCGACTCGCTGGGTGGGTGGTGGTGTGGTTGGGGCGATTGGGTGACTCGCGTAATCAGAAATGAAAATGAATTTTCTTGTGCTGGAAGCTTGGCTTTTTAGCTGGGCAGCTTAATTGCTTTCATTTGGATCCAACTGCAGAGCACACTCATCACCACACACTCACACACACACATCCATATATATACATATACAGTCAATTCAATATGACGTTGATTTTTAAGACGCCCACCCGACGTTGCAGGGCGCCTGCTAGTTGATGGCTCTGAGAAATTTTCCAGTGCACTTCACTTGGCAAACAATGATGCAAGAAATTGATTTTCAACAAGCATCAGCACGAAGCAGGAGGAGTCACAGCGAGGACGAAAACTTAAGGATTGTGCGCCACTCAAAGGCTAACTCCGCCCACCATTGTCCACCCCTGCGCTGCATGATGAAAATGTCTAAGACAATTGCTCTGGCCAAAGTGCAAGAAATAGATAAAATTAGTGATGGACCAGCGCCCCTCGGCTCCCGCCGGCTCCCATTGCGCTCAACATGCCATGCCCACTTGAGAGTGGGCCGAAACCAGCTAAGATAAAACTCACCTGGCTGGCATTTGTTGCCAGCAAACGGCGAAGTGCGCAACTGAAATGCTTGAAGCAGCTGCAATTGCTCAGTTGGCGCGCCTTCAAGCAATGCCAAATGCAAAACCTCTTGACTTTTATATCAAATATTTTGCCACACTTTGTGCGTATTAAGTCTAATTGGATTTGACTCTGCAAATTCCATTTGCTTCCAATTTAAAAGCGACTCTTCGCGTGTATTTGCATTATATTTTATTTAATTTGCGCATTTTATTTTCTCTGCTGCGAATAAATGTAAAAAATAACTTCATTTGCATAATGTGCGCAATTATAAGCGAGTCGCACACACGCAACACACACACACACACACACGCATGCACCTGTTCCTAGGCCCGCAAAAATATGCACTTGCAGTTTTCCTTTTACCTGGGCAGGTTTTTCGCTTTGTTGCGCGTCGCGCCCGTTTTGTTAATTAAAAATTATTGTAATTTTTTTAATGCGTAATTATTCACAAGCACTCGGCCATGGCCGCATTTATTTATTGTAACTATTTTCGCCCAGCACAGCTGGCGAACTGAAAATAAAACCTAACGGGCGTGTGCTGGTTGTGTGCTGCACGACTTTGAGATGCCCTATTTAAGATTTGATGTGTACATGTATACAAATTTAAATTTAAAATATATCTAAGTTTTCTAAGTAACCAACTAATCTGGGCAGAGCATAAAGCTAGAAAAATCCCTAGCCTATTTAATTTGTTCTTATGCATATGTATATACAAATTTAAGTTAAAATATATAGAACATTTTCTAAGCAACTAACGAATCAGAGCAGAGAACAAGGCTAGAAAAATTCATAACAGTTATTCTATGAAGAATCGCGAATTCAAAGTGGAACCTATTCAAACACTCATACATTCGGTACGAAACTAATTTATTTATTTATTTAGTCTAATGAATTCATCAGTCCATGGGGAAGACCGGAACTAATTCTTGGTGTACTGAGTGCGGAGTCGTGTTAAATAGTTCTTTCAAGCAGTGC